GATGACAGTGCCGCCCTGCACCGGCCCCTTCTCCCTCCCAGCCCCAGCACATCCCCTCTGGGGCAAAGGACTAGGCAGGCTCCTCCCTGCTGCCTGCTTCTGGAGATAAGTCCTTGATGACCCTCAGCAGCCCCACACTCCGGAGATAAATTTCCTATTTAAGAGGAAATCCAGCACCCTGCCCAATGGGAGTTGCCGCTTCTCCCGCCATTGCAATGGTGGGAAGTGACCGCACCCACCCTCCCCAGCAGGGAGATTCCAGCCTCTGAGAGCTCAGAGCTGGAAAGATAAATGTCATCGCCTGTCCCTCACTCCCTTTGTCCCTCTTTAGCCACAGAGTGGGAACAGGGAACTGCGTAGGAACCCGTCTGCAGGGATGGTGAAGGAACTGTTGCTTAAATCACGCTGAGGACTCCTCCCTTTCCTCTTCACCAACACCCCCACCCACCCACTAAGAAAAAAGGAAAAAACAAAACACCACTCCTTATTTCCAAGGTAAGCATCAGCAGCATGGCCCTGGGAATCCCTTCCTCTGGTACGCCTGGACTTGACCATCCATGTAGTAAAATCTTCGGCAGGGAGCTGAGAATTGCTTTTCTCTCCAATGGGTTGCCACCCACACTGAGCTGCTTGACTCCTCTGTGGCCTGGTGACCTAATCCATAAAATAACTCAACTCCTCTGCCTGCTTCCTAGGGTTGCTGAACCAAAAAACATACCGCACCTAAATTCTGTTTACAACTTACAGAGTTCACATCACCGTAAAAGAAAAGTATCTTTCGCCCCAGTAGGCTCCTTCCCATATCTTACCTGCCAGCGAAGCTCAATTCCTAATGTTTTTCTCTAACTCAAAGGATGATTCATTTGGTCTTTGCAAGCCCTGTTGAACAGTTTTCTACATAGAGCAGATCTCCCCTCCTTGACCTCAGTCCTAGACATTCGTCAGGGCCCTGTTCCCTCAGGAAACCTTTCCGTCCTGCTGTCTCCTGCAGAATCAGTGTGTTTCTAAACCCCTCTGGCCTTTGTCGCTCCCCAATTCCTGCACTGACCCTACTCCACCTCACACTCAAACTCTCTACACCAGCGCATTCCGCATACAGTTCCTGGGCTGATTCCGAGCAGTTTGTGGGCAGCACACTCACATCGCAGGCCCAAGGTGAGGGTACAGGGGAGCCCCCTCTATGTACATTTGTGTGCATGGATTCATTCAGGGAAACTTATCCTTGCTATTTCCCAAAAGGATCAAAGGAAACATTAAGAACAGAACACAACTCAGGAAAGAGAGTGGAAGCAGAGCTGTCCGTCTCAAGGCACCTGGGACGCATTATTTACTCCAGCTGAGGGCCAGATTTATCTCCGGGTTTCCTGGATGAAAGGGAAATGTGCTGGCTCCTACGCTTTTCATTGTACAATGACTCTGGAATCAGAACTGAAAGAGCAATTTTTCCTGGCACCATGTTCAAGGAGAAACTTATCAAGCAGTCCCCCACGTAACAAGCATGAGGTAACCCAAAGCAGCGGCACCTCCAAGAAGAGGTTACAAAAGGCCACTGATGTTTCCTCGTGGCCAATTCCTCTGTCTGGAATTCAGAGAGAAAGGATTTCCACACATAAACAAGATGTGTGGCCCCCATTCTGAGCTCACTCACTCTATGCTTGTGAAAGTCTTGAGAATCTGAAGGAAAGAAAAGTCAGTGTGAATCTGTTTAATATCAGACCTCAAAGACCCCCTCAGGCTCTCCTGAGGGATCTTGGGAGCCAGCTTGCGACCATGTAGATCAACAGAGACAGGAGGAAGCAGGAAGCAGGGATCTGGAACACAGCACAGGCAACACCATGTGGCCAGCACATGTTGAGCAGACGGGGCTGTGCCCACCACAACCAGTCCTGTCCCACCCCTGGATGATGTCAGGAGACACTAAATAAATGTAATAGTCTCACAGATGTCATGAAAGGGAATGATTAGGTCTGGGGGATGACATGGCTCATGACCATATCAAGCTGAAATGTTATCTCTACCAAGATGGTGGGTAAGCCCACCTATTTCCTGTCTCAGATAGGGCTGGGCAGAATGTGGGCCCCTTGTTGTGGACCTTCAGAGGCAGGAAAGGAAGGCTAGGGCTGGTGCTTACCCATGCCCTTCCTTCACCATCTTGGCCCAAGCTCTTATGATCTTCCCTTCTGAGATGGTTGCTCATCTTTGACTTGGGGAGACCTTATCTCCAGGTTTCAAGCACCCAAGGAGTCCAATGTCTCAACAGGGCAGTCGCCAACATGTTGGATTTAGCTTGAGATATCCTGTCTTCTTTTGGAGAAAGGCTGGTCTCTCAGTATCTTTGACTCTGGTGAGACTTGACCACCACAGTGGCCCCCAGTATAAGGATCCATTGGTCAGTTCTACTTGGGGAAAAACAGTGGCAGGAATGAGAAAGATAGACAAGAAGACAAAAGCTGGGCTAAGTGGTTGCTGTTCTGCCTGATGGGCAAGACTAATGCAGCTGCACAACAAAACTGTTCTTTAACTCAGCAAAATATTCTAAAAGAGTCCAGTAATCCATAATAGTATTAGGTCTTCCACTTGATTAGCACTGTTAGAAATTGTTGACCTGAGTCCCCTACAGCTCAACATAACAGCATGGCTTTACTTCTTATACTTCGTTTTTATACTTTTCTCCTGGATGGTTAAGATCAAGGTAAAGCAAGACCTATGCAACAAGAGTTGTAGCTTTTGGATCTGATAAGGTCAGTCAAATCCCCTCAGGATTTATCCTGAGATCTTGTACCTCAGATTGTAGATTCTATAATATTCAAATGACGGAACTAAACAAAAAAGGGGATATATAAATGAATGTCCACTTTGTATCTGTGTATTCAAAATGGTTAGGATAGATATATAGTTACATTCTCTTAATGAATAGAGGGATTTGTTCTAATAGTGTTTGTAAATAGGATATCATGTCTGCATCTTGTACAGCAAATAACCACTAGGAAGAGCATATGCAATGTGTTAATTATTGAAACTGTCCTACCAATTTGATTTGAAACTGTCTCATTGCTATGTGTCTCTCAACAAAATTATGGGGAAAAAAATGAATTCAAAAAAGAAGAATGGTCCTTTATTTATACTTTTGAAAAGTTAGTAACACATGATACAAGGTCGCCTAGCGACTAATAGCTGACCTTAACCAGACACGATGTTTATCTCAGGACTGAGGTAGCTTGTTTGCTTTAGGCACTGAGACCTAATCCCACCTACATGCATTTGATCAACTTCCTAGCTTCTGCAGCTTCCAACACCCAGGATCACCAAGGACACAGACTTCACCAGGTGGACAGACATACTTCTGTTGCCCTTGTCTAATAGTGCCATGGGAGAGAGAGGCCAGAGAGAAAACAGTAACATAGGTCATAGAAGGGACAGCCAGGGTGCTCAGGAGGAAAAGCACCTGTGATTTCCCTGTCCCAGGTGCCACTGCTCTGTGGTGGCCAGCCCAGATGGCCACTTTGAGCCCTGCCAGGGCATTTCTGTGAGGCGCTTCCTCAGAGTTCTGCTCAATGGCACCCAATTGATAAGGCTAAAGATACCCTGAAAGGGAAGGTGCCAGAAGGAGGGCACCACCGCCACTGAAGAGAAGAGGGTCGCCTGAAGATGGACACTCAGTCCTTGTTCACAGAAGTGACTCTCTACCCCTGTAAGACCTTGGCTGCTTTTACCATGGTCACTGTCATCACTAATAACAATAACCACAGACAGTGCTATGTGAGAGGCCACAGTGTCAAGGATAGAATCATGTTTTGTGTTTATCCAAAGTAAAATAAACCTTTCCATCCCTCAATAGAGAGACTGATATGAAGTGAGACTCAGTTATTCTCTTTGATCGAACGTCAGGAAACCCAGGGGACTGGCAGGTGTCCAGGGCAGATATTTCTCTGGGTGGACACCTGTCTGTTGTTTCTTCTTATTCCAAAGCCATGCCTTCCCAAGCTCAGATCCCAAGCTGGCTGCCCAGATGACCAGTAGACATATCAGACCCTGCATGGGGGGGGGCCACACCCTGCTCCTCAGTGGCTGCAGTCCCTCCCAGCATGGCCCAGAGGCCTTCCTCTGGACCCACAGGGACATCACTAGCACTCACACATGCATCCCACGGGAGGCTCTTTTTCATGATGTCCTGCTCTCTTTATGTAGTCTAAACATGCTCCTTTCCCAGAGCCCAGCATCCAGCTCCCTTTATCTGAAGTTGAGTTGCCTTCTTCTTCCCACTTCACCAATCCCTGACCACTGGACCTTGCCTCATCCATCCTGCTTGTCCTTCAAGAGGCCTCAATTTTCCAAAGGAAAGCTTTCCCTGCAGCCTCAGTTAACCACCCAGGGAGCAGACCCTGCCCACAGAAATGAGGGTAAAAGGGAGGGGGTTGGGGAAGTGACACGAGAACCCCACCAGGACCCCACCTAGGGGAGCTGTGTGTGTTCTGAGGGTGCCAGAGGAGCTGTGTATTCACCAATGCCTACCGGTCACCGGTTGAAGGCTGGGCATGAGGTGGACACCAAGCCCCAGCACTGCCAGCTATGTGGGAGAAGAGTGAGCCCACTCTGCTAGGAAAGCTCTCAACAGGAAAGACACAAGTCCTGGAAGCCGGGAGTTGGGCTAGAATGTGGAGAAAGCTAAGCATTCTGGGGGAGCACGAGAGCATTGCCATCCTGGGGAAGCCCAGATGCTGGGGCCACAAGGTCGCCACCATTGCAGGACCTTGGGTAAGTGAGCAAAAAGTGTGTTTTCATTCTACTCAAAAAATCCAGGGCAGCCAGGCAACTACTTGAATAAATAAATGTTAGATGCTTAATAATACGTCCCATTAAAGATAATTTCATCAAGCTCTCCCCATGGGAACCGGTGCCAGGTCTCCCACACAGGGCAGGCTGGCCGCTCTCAGGGGAGAAAGGCTACACAGGCAGCCTGGGTCACTAGGGTCCAGGTGAAGCAGCTCCTGAGAAGTCACCTGCAATATCCATTGGTCCACTGGAAGGCCAGGTCAGGCTGAGGGACCCCGAGTCCAGCTGACT